TTCTAGACCCTCTGAACATTGATGTCAGTTTGGAGGTCTAGGCAATCTATGGGGCCACTGGTAGTGGATCAGTGTTTATCCCTAGTACACGAATGGACTTTGGGAGCCCATTCCACTTAGAGGGATAGTCTCTCAGCCTAGACACATGGGGGAGGGTCTAGACCCTGCTCCAAATGATATGACAGACTTTGAAGATTCCCCCATGGAAGGCCTCACCCTCCCTGGGGAGCAGAAAGGGGATGGGATAGAGTGGGGGGGCAGGGGAGGAAGGGAGGGAGAGGGAACTGGGATCAACATGTAAAACAAGCTTGTGTTTCTAATTTAAATAAAAAAGGAAGAAACTAGGTGGACCTAAGAAACTATATAAAACATACATTGATAATTGCAGTCTATACCCTATCTCTAAAATTTATAGATACACCCAAAAATATACTAACTAGATATTATAGCTATTCCCAGGATGAAAGTGAAACATAAGGGTATTTATATTTTTTAACTCAGGTGGGGAGATATCTGGGGTATTCATATTCTTTCTTTGTGGAGGAGACTTAAGGTATTCATATATTTCCTCTACTAAGACGAAGGTGGCAACAGAAATCATCATCATGTCACTAGTTTGCAAGTACCATTAAAAGTGCTGACTACTGCAAAATATTACATGTAAAACTTTTTCTCTGAAGATGCGAGACTAGACAGAATACAAAAATAGTCCACATTGTGATTCATCACTTCCTTTAGAAGAAGTTTCAAGCCTACAGAGAAAAAGGTAGCTGTTACCTTCAACAGTAAGTTAGCATGAGTCACTTCTCTGTCAAGCTACAACTAGTCCATGGCCAGCCTGTGCAAGAAGGTGAAAACACTGCTTGCACACTATCAGGAGGGTATGCACACAGCAGGGTTTTACAGAAAAAAAATGCTACAGGAGAAACAAAATGATACAGGAGATGTGAGGGTACAGCAGAATTCAATAAGCCAAACATATGTCCTAGAGCAGAGATGGGTGGAAATCAACATGTTCTATGTTGGCTGAGGCAGAGGAATTGAGAGGGGAGATAAGGAGACAGTGAGACCTTGGAAATTTTCTTGAGTGTGGAATAGAATCCAGAGCTCATCTTACAGCCTGATTGCTAAGTATGGTGTTAGCATGAGAGTCACAGGTCCACTCTGTTTTTACAGGAGATCTATTCTGGATGTGAGGTAGAAACTAGATGACAAGAAATCCTAAGAGCAAGCCAGGTAGTAGTGGCGCACGCCTTTAATCCCAGCACTCGGGAGGCAGAGGCAGGCGGATCTCTGTGAGCCTCCAAAACAATACAGAGAAACCCTGTCTCGTAAAACCAAAAAAAGAAAAAGAAAAGAAAAGAAATCCTAAGAGCAAAATATACGTTGGTCCCTGGAGTAAGGAATTAGCAAGTATGGGAATGAGAAAAAGTGAACTGATGTAAGAGACAAAAGGAGACAGAAAACACAGGACCTTGGAATAGTAAATGGAAAAGATAAATACTCTTTGTGGTCCTGGTTGAGGATAGGGTAACTTGGTGATTTTAAATATAATTTTAATATTTTGTTAATGTTTTGAAAATATCATGTTGATCATACTCATCAACACTATTCACTCTCACTCAATCTGGGTTCACCCCCCCATACCTTTCTACCCCTCCAAACTTTGTATCATCTTGTTGCTGTATTTGGAAGCTCACTGATTTCCTTGTTGTTGGATCCTCTGGAACATGGCAGATCAACAACTGGCCACTCTTTTTATAAACACTGACTCTTCCTCCCTCAGAAGCCATCAACTGTTAGGAGCACCTCCTCAGGTAGAGGTAGAGGTTTCCAATTCCCTTCTGAGTCCATGCGAGAATGCTGACTGGGATTGAACTTACAGGTGTGAGTGCACTGTGTGAGTGCACTGGTCCCGTCACATCCAGAAGATGCTCTTTGGCTCCTGTCCTCCCTGACCTCTGGCTCTTACAATCTTTCCACCTCCTCTTTCATGATGTTCCCTAAGTCTTGGGGTGGGGATGGGGTGATATAAATGTTGCATCGAGGGAGCACTCCCCAGACACTAAAAACTGATCAAGGGTCAGTCATTGAGTTTCGGTGTTAATATCGGGTTGTTTTGTTTTTTAAATGTTAAGAACCTTATCCCTTTTAAGGGTCTATAATCCTTTATCAGTAGTCTACAGAGCTTTGAAGAGGGAACGGTTCCTGTAGAAGACAGTGAAAGCTTCCGGCCTTCACATAAGGTTATTCCTCCTTGCCAGATGCCATAGTGCATGGAGATTCATATACTGCACTGCAGAAATTGTACCATCTGTGATTTCCAGGGTACACATGCAGAATAAAGTGTGTCTGTCAGGGAATACATGGTCCTTTGAACATAAGTGTCCCCCATAAGCTCACAGGGCATGGCACTATTAGGAGGTGTGGCTTTGTTGGAGGAATGGCCTTATTGGAGGAAGTGTGTCACTGAGAGTGGGCTTTGAGGTCTCATATATTCTCAATTCACTCCCATTGCCTCAGTCCACTTCCCATTGCTTTCTGATCAAGATATAAAATTTTCAGCTCCTTCTTCTACACTATGTTTGCCTACATACCATCATGTCCAACCATGATGATAATGGACTGAACCTCTGAACTGCAAGCCGCCCAATTAAATGTTTTTCTTTATAAGAGTTGCCATAGTCTTGATGTCTCTTCACAACAATAGAAACCTTAACTAAGACACATGGGGTATGTACCATGTTACCCTTACAAAGTCTGAACTCAGCAATACAATGGCTTCTGATAAGGAATTATAGAGAGGAAAGTTACCCTTAAAGGTAGTTGAGAGGTTCATTGTAAAACAGTGACTACCCAGTGCACAAATATGAGGGTGTCTCTGTTTGTGTTTGGGGTGGAGTCAGTTATTGTCTCTGACTGTGCAGTAAGATGCAGTGTTAAGAATCTGTTGGTGTCTTCACTGCTGGCCTTTCAGCAGGCGTCTCAAAGGTTCCTGAGCTTGCAATGGTCAGATTCATGAAGCCTACAGACAACTGTGGAGCAAGTACCATATACCTCTTCCCATGGGGACTGAAATGTGTTTCCAACAAAGCATCTGCTACAAGAGCCATGGGACTCAGAGTCAATCCCAGGCGTCTACCACAACCATCAATGGTCATTCATTTTCTATACATTCTCTCACACACACAAGCTATTGGTAAAATACTCTGCTAGGGACCTGGAGACTACTGAAGAACAATACAGAATCCCAAACTATTATCAGAAAAGTTGCCCCAAAGATGTTTCATAAGTGTTTGTTAACACAAAAGAGTAAGGCCCAAAAAGATGGCTCCACTTTAAAAGCACTTGCTGATCTTGCAGAGGACCCAGGTTTAGTTCCCAGCACCCACACAAAAGTCCAACTGGGGGGTCCTGACCCATTCTTCTGGCACTGCATACACATAGTGCACATACATACATGCCTGTAAAACACTCATACACATAAAATGTTTAAAAAATAAATTTTAAAACATTAGAAACTAGAAATAATGAAAAGGATATTAGTTATAAGGGGGATATTACTGTGTACCACTAAGTAGAGAGTAAAAGGCCACACCAGTTCTAAGTATAGTCACCTCTCCATATACATTGACTAAACATCCTCAGACTTAACTAATCAGATAGAAATTACATTGTTTTACGTATATGTGGCTGAAAACATACAGAATTTTATCTCCATAAAATATAAAATAATCACTACCCAATATTTACATTGTTTTAGACATTATGGGACAGATAATTTCAAGCATACAAGAGCATGGACACAGGTGGTTAACACAATCCATCTTTTTATTTTATTTTCTTTTCCAGTTTAAATTTAGATAAGAAGCGAGGTTGCTTCACAAGTCAGTTCCAGGTCCCTCTCCCTTTCCCTCCCCTCCTCCCGTGCCCTCCCCCCATCCCCCCCCGTTATCCCCTCATTCCCCCAGGGAGGGTGAGGCCCTCCATGGGGGTGTCCATAGTCTGTCATTTCATATAGGGCAGGGCCTAGACCCTTCCCCAAGAGTTCAGGGTGAGAGTGCACCTCACATTGTTCTATGGGAGTCCAGAGACCGCGTGTATACTTGGGATGGGTACTGATCTGCTGCCCAAGGCTCAATAGATTCCCTAGGCCTCCTCACTGACACCCAGATTCAGGGGGTCTTGATCAGTCCCAGGCTGATGCCTGGGATTCAAGAGTTAACCTTTGTCTGGTCAGCTGTTTCTGGGGGTTAAACCAGCCCAGTCTTAATCCCTTTGATCATCAGTCCTCCCTCTCTGTTACTGGCTTTCTTGAGTTCAGCTCAGTACTTAACCGAGGGAGTCTGCCTCTTCTTCGATCAGCCACTAAATAAAGTTTCTGTTTCCCAGACTCTCTGGCCATAGGATTGTAGGCTGGCACTCCCCAGATCTATGTCTAAAATCCATATATGAGAGAGTACATGCCATGTTTCTCTTTTTGTGACTGGGTTACCTCACTCAGGATGGTTTCTTCTAGTGTCATCCATTTGCCTGCGAATCTCATGATTCCATTATTTTTTTCTGCTGAATAGTACTCCATTGTGAGCTTCCGTGAGTATTTGGATATCCATAGAGAATCCCAGAACCAATTCCATAAAAACAGTAGGAGACATAGTTACAAAGGGGAGACTGAAGAAAGAAGTACTCGGTCTAAGTGGCGTGTGGAGACAGGTGAGCAAAGTGACTTTAAAGCATGCCTTCACGACTATCCCATAATAAAGAATACACAGAGAGAGAGAGAGAGAGAGAGAGAGAGAGAGAGAGAGAGAGAGAGAGAGAGAGAGAGTACCCTTAAGAGAGATTATTAAAGGCTTGCCTTATTCATCAAGAGCTTTTGAAGCTTGGATTTCTGCCAACTAACTTTTGGACAGACACTTCCCTCAAAGCAGCCTGGATTTCTACAGATTGATGTTCAGCACTTTTGAAGTACTGGGAAGACTGACCAGAAAGACCCTTACCTTCAACACATGAAGGCTGTGCCCGAGTCGTGCCAGCCACCTGCCCCGGGAAGCAGGAACATTTGACCGTCTGAGAGCGTTCCTCTATGCGGTTCTTATTGCAGCAGCGGTGCACAGCGACCACCTCACAGGTACCCTGCTTGATTAGGTGGTGGCCTGGGAGACAAAGAGAGAACACAGACCAGGAGCTGTCAGAGTGCACAAGATCACCAAGAACTTAGTTACACTGTGCCTACTCCTTCCCTCCTGCTATGCTATGTATCTTGGTAGTATTCCCATTTGATGACATCTCAAATTAACATAAAATTAATAAGAAAGGTGCAGAATACTCCAGAAACTCAGATTCAGAACTCTTGTGGTTATTTTGCATTCATGATGTGTCCCAAGAGATGCTGCTGGATAAATAAGACTGCTGATTTTAGACGAGCAGATCCTGGATGATCCAGACTCTTGTTAGTTTGCAGATGGAGGAAGCATCATGTGGATGAACTAGAGACTTCCATCTTATCAGACACGAATTTAACCAATAGCCTGAATAAGGCTGAAGTCTTCACAGCCCCCATAAAGAAATGCAGTCTTGCTGATATCTTGACTGTTGACATCTCAGTCAGAAGAGCCTAGGAGACAATCATCCAAGCCCAGACTTCTGGGATGAGATGCTGACTTGAAGGCAACTTGTGAGAGCAGCAATAGGAAACTAACTGTTCACCCAGATTTACCAGATTGCATGTGAGCACATCTGATGTATCATTCATGATCTGTCTCACCTGTTCTCTCAGTCAGGTGACAGGCTTGACAACTCATTCACCCCTCAATACACCAGTGCACATTTCTAAAAGTGACATCCTCATATAATTAGTCAGAATTCTTTCTTATGTATGCTGTTGTGAAATATCTATACATACAGATTTTCCTACATTGTCCCAACAATGTCCTGTCTGCCCTGCCCAGACTCTACTAAAGAAGCATGCCTCACATTCAGTTGTTATATGCCATTAGCTTACTTTAATCAGAGCCTATTCCTCAAACTGAATCTTCCTTGACCTTGACATTTTTTTATGTTTTCTCTTTTTTTTATTTTATTTTCCAGTTTAAATTTAGATAAGAATCAAGGTTGCTTCACAAGTCAGTTCCAGGTCCCTCTCCCATTCCCTCCCTTCCTCCCGTGTCCTCCCCCCCCCCCCCCGTTATCCCCTCATTTCTCCAGGGAGGGTGAGGCCCTCCATGGGGGTGTCCATAGTGTGTCATTTCATATAGGGCAGGGCCTAGACCCTTTCCCAAGAGTTCAGGGTGAGAGTGCACCTCACATTGTTCTATTGGAGTCCAAAGTCCGTGTGTATACTTGGGATGGGTACTGATCTGCTGCCCAAGGCTCAATAGATTCCCTAGGCCTCTTCACTGACACCCAGATTCAGGGGGTCTTGATCAGTCCCATGCTGGCTTCCCAGGCTAATGCCTGGGATTCAAGAGTTAACCTTTGTCTGGTCAGCTGTTTCTGAGGGTTAGACCAGCCCAGTCTTAATCCCTTTGATCATCAGTCCTCCCTCTCTGTTACTGGCTTTCTTGAGTTCAGCTCAGTATTTAACCAAGGGAGTCTGCTTCTTCTTCGATCAGCCACTAAATAAAGTTTCTGTTTCCCAGACTCTCTGGCCATAGGATTGTAGGCTGGCACTCCCCAGATCTATGTCTAAAATCCATATATGAGAGAGTACATGCCATGTTTCTCTTTTTGTGACTGGGTTACCTCACTCAGGATGGTTTCTTCTAGTGTCATCCATTTGCCTGCGAATCTCATGATTCCATTATTTTTTTCTGCTGAATAGTACTCCATTGTGTAGATGTACCACATTTTCTCTATCCACTCCTCAGGTGAGGGACATCTAGGTTGCTTCCACGTTCTGGCAATTACAAATAAAGCTGCTATGAACATAGTGGAACAGACATCTTTGTTGTATGAATGGGCATCTTTTGGATATATGCCTAAGAGTGGAGTTGCTGGGTCTTGTGGTAGGTTTATTCCCATTTTTCTGAGGAATCTCCACACTGATTTCCAAAGTGGCTGGACCACTTGGCACTCCCACCAGCAATGGAGGAGTGTCCCCCTTTCACCACATCCTCTCCAGCATAAATTGTCATTGGTGTTTTTGATTTTAGCCATTCTGACAGGAGTGAGATGGTATCTCAGAGTTGCTTTGATTTGCATTTCCCGGATGGCTAAGGATGTTGAGCACTTTCTCAAGTGCCTCTCAGCCATTTTAGACTCCTCTATTGAAAACTCTCTATTTAGTTCTGCAGCCCACTTTTTAATAGGGTCCTTTGGTGTTTTGGAGACTTGTTTCTTGAGTTCTTTGTAAATTTTGGAGATCAACCCTCTGTCAGATGTGGGATTAGTGAATATTTTTTCCCATTCTGTGGGCTGCCTTTTTGTCTTGCTGACTGTGTCCTTTGCCTTACAGAAGCTTCTCAGTTTCAGTAGGTCCCATTTATTGATTGTTGATCTTACTGCCTGTGCTACTGGTGTTATGTTCAGGAAGCTGTCTCCTGTACCAATTCGTTCAAGGGTACCACCCACTTTCTCTTCTAAGAGGTTCAGTGTGGCTGGATTTATGTTGAGGTCTTTGATCCATTTGGACTTAAGTTTTGTGCATGGCGATAGACATGGATCAATCTGCATTCTTCTACATGCCAGTCTCCAATTATGCCAGCACCATTTGTTGAAGATGCTTTCTTTATTCCATTGTATATTTTTAGCTTCTTTGTCAAAGATCAGATGTTCGTACGTGTGTGGGTTAATACCCGGGTTTTCAATTCGATTCCATTGGTCTACCTGTCTATTTTTGTGCCAATACCAAGCTGTTTTCAGGACTATAGCTCTATAATAGAGCTTGAGGTCAGGGATGGTGATGCCTCCGGACGTTGCCTTGTTGAACAGGGTTGTTTTGGCTATCCTGGGTCTTTTGTTTTTCCATACAAAATTGATTATTGTTCTTTCAAGGTGTGTGAAGAATTGTGCTGGGATTTTAATGGGGATTGCATTGAATCTGTAGATTGCTTTTGGCAGGATTGCCATTTTTACTACATTGATCCTACCTATCCAAGAGCATGGGAGATCTTTCCATTTTCTGAGGGCTTCTTTAATTTCTTTCTTTAAAGATTCAAAGTTCTTATGATACAGGTCTTTCACTTGTTTGGTTAGCGTTACCCCAAGGTATTTTATGATGTTTGTGGCAATTGTAAAGGGTGATGTTTCTCTGATTTCTCTTTCAGCCCTTTTATCATCTGTATATAGTAGGGCTACTGATTTTCTTGAGTTGATCTTGTAGCCTGCCACTTTGCTGAAGGTGTTAATCAGCTGTAAGAGTTCCCTGGTAGAGTTCTTTGGGTCATTGATGTAAACTATCATATCGTCTGCAAACAGTGAAAGTTTGACCTCTTCCTTCCCAATTTGTATCCCCTTGATCCCCCTTTGTTGTCTTATGGCAATAGCTAGAACTTCGAGTACCATGTTGAAAAGGTATGGAGAGAGTGGACAACCTTGTTTTGTTCCTGATTTTAGAGGAATTGCGTTGAGTTTCTGTCCATTTAGTTTGATGTTGGCTGTTGGTTTACTGTATATAGCTTTTATTATGTTTAAGTATGTCCCTGTTATCCCAGATCTCTCCAAGACCTTTATCATGAAGGGTGTTGGATTTTGTCAAAGGCTTTTTCAGCATCTAGTGAGATGATCATGTGATTTTTGTTTTTCAGCTTGTTTATATGGTGGATTACGTTGATGGATTTTCGTATGTTGAACCATCCCTGCATTCCTGGGATGAAACCTACTTGATCGTGGTGAATGATTGTTTTGATATGTTCTTGGATCCGATTTGCCAGTATTTTATTGAGTATTTTTGCATCAATGTTCATGAGGGATATTGGTCTGAAGTTCTCTTTCTTAGTTGTATCTTTGTGTGGCTTGGGGATCAAGGTTATTGAAGCCTCATAGAAAGAGTTTGGCAAAGACCCTTCTGCTTCTATTGTGTGGAACACTTTGAGAAGAATTGGTATAAGCTGTTCTTTGAATTTCTGGTAGAATTCTGCACTGAGGCCATCTGGACCTGGACTTTTTTTGGTTGGGAGACTTTTGATGACAGCTTCTATTTCCATAGGGGTTATAGGTCTATTTAAATTGCTTATCTGTTCTTGATTTAGTTTTGGCAAGTAATAGCTATCCAGGAAGTCATCCATTTCCTTTAAATTTTCGAATTTTGTGGAGTACAGGTTTTCAAAGTATGACCTAATGATTCTCTGGATTTCCTCAGAGTCTGTTGTTATGTCCCCCTTTTCATTTCTGATTTTGTTAATTTGCGTGTTCACTCTCTGCTGTTTGGTAAGTTTGGACAAAGGTTTGTCTATCTTGTTGATTTTCTCAAAGAACCAACTCTTCATTGCATTGATTCTTTGTATTGTTTTCCTGGTTTCTACTTTATTGATTTCAGCCCTCAATTTGATTATTTCCTGGCGTCTACTCCTCCTGGGGGAGTGTGCTTCTTTGTGTTCTAGAGCTTTCACCTGTGATGTTAATTCTCTGGTATAACTGTTCTCCTGTTTCTTCATGTGAGCATTTAGCGCTATGAATTTCCCCCGTAGCACTGCTTTCAAAGTGTCCCATAGGTTTGGGTATGTTGTGTCTTCATTCTCATTGAATTCGAGGAAGTCTTTAATTTCTTTTTTTATTTCCTCTTTGACCCAGGGATGGTGCAGTTGAGCATTATTCAATTTCCATGAGTTTGTAGGTTTTCTGCAATTTGTGTTGTTGTTGAATTCTAATTTTAAGGCATGGTGGTCTGATAAGATGCATGGAGTTATTCCAATTTTTTTGTAGCTGCTGAGGTTTGATATGTTGCCAAGTATGTGGTCGATTTTTGAGAAGGTTCCATGTGGTGGTGAGAAGAAGGTATATTCTTTTTTATGTGGATAAAATGTTCTATAGATATCTGTTAATCCCAGTTGGGTCATTACTTCTATTAGCCCTTTTGCTTCTTTGTTGAGTTTCTGTTTGGTATTCCTGTCTAGTGGTGAGAGTGGTGCGTTGAAATCTCCCACTATAACTGTGTGGGGCTTTAGATGAGATTTAAGTTCTAATAATGTTTCTTTAACGAATGTGGAAGCCTTTG